CTCCTGCTAACTTATTTTTTTGTCTTTTTAGCTTTATTATCATACATTGTTTTCTTTGTACTTATGCCGTATACAGTTCAACAACAAAAGTCACAAAATTTTTAAAAGCTGCGTAGCAGCGTATTTTTAGAATTTCCGATGCAATATTAAGTGTTGGCATATATTTTTATATTTTTTCAGCCTTTTCTCAGTCAGTCATATCAATGTTCAATTTTCTTAGTAAGATGGCTAACACAAAATAAGTCTTGCCTTGTTATTATTACCTTTTTTGTGTTAACTTTATTTATATAACGTTCTTTGCACTTAACCACATAAAATTCAACTCAGCAGCAAAATTGCAAAATATTTAAAAACAGCGTATCTTTAGAATTTCCGATATAGAGTCTCGCGCGTTGGAGATAAAATGTTTTATTCCGTACAGTGTTGCCATTGCTCGCTTTGAAATCATTGAATTTGTTAATTAAAAGTTCATTCAAGTTTTGCCAAATATTAAATAAAAAATAATAAAACAACTTCGAAATTCAAAATTCGGGCTTCCAGGTGCACATGTTCGGGTGGAGGATTACGTTATTCAAAATTTGACGGCTCTAAGTACCGTCGTTATAACTCAATGTGATAAACATTGCATACATGCAGATTTTTTTTATTATTTAATGTCTTTAAAAATAACATAGGGCGATAATATTCAGTGGCAAATATCTGAAAAGTAATACGTCATTTATAGTGAACGGTCACATAATCTCTTTTCGCCCAAGTACACCTGACATTCATAAAAATTATGGTAAGAAAAGATTTATCATATTAAAATAAAGCTATATTTGCATACGAGTTGCAGTTTATTACATTTAGCTCTGATGGGACGAACAGTTGTGTGGCAAAATCCGAATAAAAAAAAAATTGATCTCGAAAACTTATTATCTGCTGTTAAGCACGTGAGTGGAGTCATAATGGTTTGGAAATATTTCGTTGCTTCTTGGATGGATAATAGATAGTATTTGTATAGAAAATAATATGGATCAGTTATCAATATAAATATAGAAATATTCTTAATGAAAACCTGAAAGCATGTGCAAGAAAACTGCGAATGCAAAATGCATTCAGGATTTATCTTGATAACGATCCTAAACATACAAACTTAAATCTTAGCTTCTGGTTATTATGCAACAGTCATGAAATTATCCAAATCCTCCGTATCTTCTGGATTTACATCCGATCGAATATGCCTGGAGTGAGCTGGAGAAAGAATAGTAAACCAAGACATTACTTCGAAAGGTTTACTAAAAACAATACTTACGGTGGAATAGCACAACATAGGACATTCTTACACACACACACACACACACCACAAAAAAAAAAAAAAAAAAAAAAAAAAAATTGAATCCATGCCGAAATGCATGAAAAGTGTAGTTTTAGGTAAAGAACATCAAAAAAAAAAATATGGAATATCCTGTTATTTTCATGTTTTTATTAAACTGTTTAAAGCGTCTAAACACTTAGGCGAGTTCATTTTCAGAACTTTTGAATAAATTATTATTGTAACACATGCATATTTCTTATTATCCATTATTAAACAATCCTGGGGTTAATAAATAATACAATTAAGTATTATTTATTCGAATATCAATTTATTTATGAATTAGCAGACAAAAGAAATAATAAAAGTGAGAGAGTTGTTTAGCTACATTTCTCGTGCACAGCATTCAAAGTTAACTCTCAAGTTTGCTTATCACCATGGGCTGTAAAAAAGGAGAGTTTTTTTTTCAAACCAAGCAGGTTTATAAAATGATGATCAATAGTATATGTGGAAGAGAAATATAATCATTTCTCTAATATTCAGTAACTGATATTTGCAAATAAGTGTGAAAAACATAAGTCTCCGAAAAAAAATGTGAGCCATTTGTGTGGGCTAATTTTTTTATTGCGCTTTCATTGTCAATACATTTCTTAGATGAAATTATGGTAATCATTTTTATTTTAAACCATGCAATTTAATATGACTGTGTACATAAATTTAAAAACTTTAATTTTTGCATATTTTTGTATTGATATAAATCTCTATATTTACAGGTTTAGAAGTTAAGGCGCCGGCTTTCACGCTTCAGAAAAACAAATCTAAGAGAAGAGAAGTTAAACAAACACTCACGAAGAAAATATCAGGTGAATATTACTTTAGAGTCCATAATGTTTCAAACAATAAAACTGAATTAATTTAGGGTGAAAATAATATTTAAAAAAGGTTTTTGTTATAAAAAAAAAAGCTCTTATTTAAAGATCGTAAATAAACTGAAGAACGAACTGAAAGAAGAACTGATCGAACTGAAAGAAGGAAAATAATTTACCTCATAGTCCTACAGTAACAAGAGATCAAGTAATTATCTGTACAAAATTCATCTACAGTTTTATATCAGGAATAATAATAGTGTGGGAGGTTTGTGATAAATTTGTAAAAATAATGCAATTAGATTATTGTATTTTGTTCCTGGGCCCCACGCTTTTATTATTCATGATATAAAATTGTAGAAGAAGAGTTTTGAAACGAGACTTATTTAATATCTTTTTCCACTCAATTGCGTGATAAATTAATTTTCTCCTTTTATTCATTAATTATTTTATGAGTTTTAAATAAAAATTTACTTTATGAAAACATTTTAGCACCAGAGATACTGATAGTCTCGAACTTATTTTTTGTCCGTATCAGTTTTGTGTCCGATTATCTTTCCAAATTGTTACCCTACATGCTATCGCCAAATATTATTTTTAAAGATATTAAATAATGAAGAATCTTTATGCATGCATACATGCATGTTTTTCGGATTATGACGGCATACTGAGCCATCACATTTTGTCTCCACCCGAATGTGTGAATCTCCACCTGGAACCTAGAATTTTGAATTTCCATTTCGTTAGCTCAAAGGGGTGTTAGGGCTATTAGTTTCGATACTGTATTTTGCATCGAATCACTATAAACGACTGTATCCCTTTTCATATTGTTGCCACCAAACATTATCGTCCTGTATAATATTTAAAGAAATTAAATAATAAAGAATCCGCATGTATGTTTCTCGCATTAGGAAAAACAACGATACCTGGAGCCATCAAATTTTGGATAATGTAGTCCTCCACCCGAATATGGGCACCTGGAAGCCCGAATCTTGAATTTCGAATTTTTTTTATTGTGTATTTGTAAAATGTTAATGAATTTTTCCTTAAAAACTGAACAATTTGAAAGAGAGCAGTGGCATCATTTGTAGGGAATAAAACATTTTCATCTTCAGCGCGGGAAACTGCATATCGGAAATTGTAAAGATATGCTGTTTTTAAATAATTTTAGACCAAATGTTCTCAAAACGTCTATGTGTCTGTAAATGATTGATTAAGAAATCGAGAGTTTGAAAGCAAGTAGTAGCAACACTGCTTCGAAATAAAACATTTTCATCTCCACCCTGCGACCCTGCGAGACGGTTGCCTGTCGAAAAAATGTAAGATAAATATCTTTCAATTTTAATTTACAAAATCGGCCGTATAAAAGGAATGTGTTACCACGATTGGAAATAAAATACTTTCATCTTCCACTCGTTAGTATGCTGCCATTCTGTAACGACTAAGATATTTAACTTTTAAATTTTATCTGGATGGTTAATGAACTAGGAGATTTAAAAGCAATAAACACGGTTCTTAGGAATTTTTTTATAACTTGTAGAGATTTTAAGTTAATTGAAAAAACCGGAGAGATGAAAAATTAGCTATCGCCTTCGCCGGGAATCGAACTACGGACCTTTGAAATACCGGCTCAGTGTGCTGGCCACTACACCACCAAGGCACGTTAGGAAAGCGGGAGAAGTACCTTATAAACTTTTTAATGTGATTGCTTTAAATAAAAATGCATTTAAATACTGTGAAGACTAATTAGGAATATTTAATAATTTTATGAAATTACATTAGTTGGGCTCATTAAAATCATTGCATACTTTTGCTTTTTAGTGATAAGTATTTCAGGCGGCTGATCGTGCAAGCGACTAGTTTTAAACGAAATGTTATAAGGAATATAATAAGATGTATAGCAAACTTTAACACTTTATCGGGAGTTCTATGCTATTTTTTATGTGTAACGTGTATACGCGCCAGTTTCCCTTAGGAAGTCCTCCACGAAGGCATCCCTCCCTGTAGGAAGATAGCCCTCGTGTCCTTTGCCATAGTTAAATAATCCAGTCCAATCCTATGCTAATTTTAGATATTTTGTAATTTTGATGTTGAAGTTTACCTAGCATAAGTGCAAAGAACACTTAATAAAAAGGGTTAAATACACAAAACGGTAGTAATAAAAAGCCCAAAAAGTGTAGTGCAAGTCATCTTACTAAAAACTTGTAAGGATCTTAAGTTTTACTAACGTTTCATTTATTTTAAATCTTTACTATCACTTCTTATTTTCTACTTCCGGCCAGAATTATAAGCGTTAAAGTATTTATGCAAAGTTTGTCTGGCGAACGCCAAGTATTTAAGTTGTGGCTTTTTGCCAAGCGAAAGAGAGGAAGCAGTGAGTCGAAGCAGGCCGCTTACCTTAGAAGTTTTACTCAGTTGCTGGTTGCCTTCCAGGCCAGAGGTTTTAATCCTCTTGATAAATTTAAACGTATTGTAGTGTTCACAGTTCTCTGTACTACATACGGCTTCCTGTTAATATAAGGCCAATCTTCCACGTTTATTATTTTAAAGTTAAATTAGAGTTTAGTTTTATTTTTATACTTTTACGTTTAGACCCCAAGTAGCGGGTCTGGTTGTATTCCGAAGTACGGAAGTTATTGTAAATAGAGAAAAATAAAGGGTTTTGTATACCCTTCTTGTGTATCCTGTCTACTTCCCACAATTGTTGAACATAGCTTTAGTAAGCTCTCTGTTCCGAGTCAGGTCCTTGCATGTTCCCGAAGAAGGTTAGACGGAACATTGAACCTGATAGTGGCGCCCAACGAAGAAGAATAACCATGGCCGAGTTTCAAGAAGAACCTGTGCTGCCTGCAGAAGCGGCTCAGAATCCAGAAATGCCAGCTGCCGCCCTGGAAGGATTTGGTTACATCGTCCAGACCATGCGCGCTTCGATGAAACCAGAAGCAACATTTAATAATGGAAACTCACCGGTAACCAGTTTTTTGGAAAAATTGGATGACCACTTCATGCTCTACCCCGTGCACGAGTTTCAAAAAGTTACCTTAGCTACCAGCGCTTTGAGGGGCCAAGCGCTTAACTGGTTCAAATGTATAGGCAGAAGTCTCTTGGGTCAAGCAGGAAGTCCCACCTATACTTACGAAAATTTCAAGACTGCCCTAGTAAAAGCCTTCCCTGTTGTAAGGGATCGTGCGAAATTAGAAACGGAACTTTTCAGTATATATCAGCAAGAAATCGAAAACCTCTCAAGCTTTATTTTAAGAAAATTCACGTCTTCAAACTCTTGTATGGAAACCGTCCGGATCCTGAGATAATTCAAGTGATTTTGCCGAGGTTACTGCCCCAAGTGCAAGACTTTATTGAATTAAGAAATCCGACTACACTGGAAAAGTTATTTGAGCTAGCAATCCAGTTTGAAAGTAGAAGAACGGGCGGACGTCGAAAGAAGACGCCAATATCAACAGCGAAACCAATTTGGTGCGCCAAGACTACAGCAAACTCAAGCACACGGCTACGGAAGCAAAGCGAATCAGTGGGCAAGGAAACCCGAGCATTCAAAAACAGCCGGCGAACGTCGACAGTTCAATAGCAATCCCAGGAAAAAAGTCTCAAGGCCAGTGGAAAAAGAAGGAAAGCACGGAAATGAAAAATAATTTAAACTAAAACGGATTTCTGCTGACGAGAGGGTGCGGAAATCCGAAGGCCACGAAAACCCCTCTTCCTTCAAGTTAAATACAGTAATGGTGAAAAATTTGACTCTTCCGAAGATTGAAGTGTTGGTGAATAATATCCCAGCCACCGCACTCCTGGATACAGGCGCGCAGTGTTCCTGTGTGGCAGAAGATTTTTTTTTTAGGAAGTATTTTCGGAAATACCGCATATATAATTCGGATAATACGACAGTGTTAGCGGCGCAAGGAGAAAAATGTAAGTGTATAGGTAAAGTACCGCTATATATTCCGTATCAAGGACGAACAAGTAAAGGTGATGTTTTTTATAGTAAAGAATCTGCAAGCACATATTATCTTAGGGATAGATTTTCTTTCAGAGGCAGTAGCAACGCTGGATTTTAATGAAGCGTCCCTTAAGCTGACAATGAAACCAGTTCGTACAGAAAAGGCTGAACCGCCGATGGTAAATCTTGACCACCTGCCTAATGACGAGCAAGGAAGAATCCGACAAGTGGTAAGTGAATTTGCTTCGTTATTTAGTGATATTCCAGGATTTACTCAGGTTACTAACCATAGTATTGACACCGGAGATTCAATGCCAGTTCGCCACAAAGCATACCGGTATGATAAGAATAAGGAAAAAATTATAGAATGGCATATCACCGATATGCTACGTAAAAAGATCATAACGCCCATCTCAAGTAGTTATGCTAGCCCGGTGGTTTTATGTAAGAAAAATAATGACTATCCTTTGACACATCCAAAAAGGTGGAGATTCGCGATTGATTACCGTAAATTAAACTCCATAACTAAATATCCGGTATATCCGTTACCTATTATTGAAGAAATTTAAGGAACATAACATCCACCAAATATTATGACGACTTTAGACTTAACGACTGGTTATTTTCAAATAGGGGTTAGGCCTGAGGACGTGCCTAAGACTGCTTTTATAACCAAGTCTGGCACTTATGCATTTTTGCGTATGCCGTTTGGCCTTTCAGGGGCGCCGGCAACATTTCAGCGATGTATGGACATTGTGTTAAGACCTGTTCTTGGAAAGTCCACATTTATCTATTTAGACGATATCATTATTACTAGTGATAATCTCGACCAACATGTACAGGATTTAAGACAGGTGTTTTCTTTATTAAATGAGGCCGGTCTAAAAGTTAATGTCGAAAAGTGCAAATTTGCAGCCCCTGAATTAAAATATTTAGGTTACAAAATATCTCAGAAAGGAATCGAGACAGACGAATCAAAAATAATCGCTGTACAAAAGTATCCGACTCCAAACACGGCGAAGAAGCTCTCTTCTTTTCTAGGACT